AAGAATGTCTAAAACATTTGTTAACAAGATAACAACATCCAAAAGTTTTATTTATAGTGTAATTGTGTAATAAATAAACACTATCATTAATATTTTGAAACTTCATCATCACTATAATCAATTACTCTTTTTTATAAGTATGCTTTTCTTTCATAACAAAAATATCAAGTTTTTCTTCTTTATAGGAATTTTACTTTTAAATTTTGCAATCTAGCTATTATTTTACTTTAATGTGAGAAACATTGTTGTTAAAACTTATTAATTTCTAATTCAAATTATAGAATCACAAGTTATATAAGTATAGAAATACTCTATTATCAAATATATATAGTTTAAAAATATCAACATACATAATATAAATCAAATCATTATTAAAGTCCAAATTAACCCATTTTTTAAAAATTTAATTGGATAAATTATTGTCTAAAACTAAATAAATCAAATCATTCTATAAAATTTAATTTTAAAATGATAATAATAACTAAATATTTGAAATATTATTAACAATATAAAAAATTAATAATAGTAGAATCACATAAAAAAATTTAAAAAACAAAAAAAATTATAAAATGGCCTAAACGGGCCAGCCCTTTTAAGCCATTGGCCCTCCATGGCTTATTTCCCATTTGAAAGGAAAAATTTTAAACTCGGCTCTCATAATTTCAAGGCCTAAACGGGCTTGATCCGTTTTCCCGGCTCTACATCAAATAGACCCGACAATGCTCTTGAATCTAACACAAGTTAGCCATATAAAAAAAAATTTCATAAGATTTTAGTCTCAGTTTAACGAATAATCCGAGTGTCAATTTTGGTTTATATAGTTAAATTCAGACCAAATTCTTATGAAATTACATGGACCAAAACTGATAATTTGAAGCTACAGGGAAACTTAAACCAAAATTCAGTCATAAGCTATAAGCACCGACAATGATACTACCTCCGGTTCTTAATTTAGGATCTCATTTGATTTTTATTTTGATCCTAAATATAAAAATCCTATTTATTTTGTTTATAATATTTATGTATTTTTTTTCAAGATAGTCCTTCTAACAATAGTAGTTCTAACCAATACACTTGATTAGTAATGATATTTTAAAAAAGACAAGACCTATTTATGACAAATAACTAACTTAACTTTTTTCCTTAATCTTTTCAAATTAGTCAATTAGCCATTATAATTAGGATCGGAGGTAGTATTAATCTTTGTTTTCAAAGATGGGCAAGTCCAAACAAATATATATATATATATATATATATATATATCGTATAGAACAAATTTAAAGATGAGCAGACACATCATGCGTGAAAGAAAAAAGTGGAAATTGTATGAGGACAAAACAAACCTTAGCAAAATATGAGTCAGACACACGACACGCATTCAAAGGATAAAATTGGAGGACAAAGATTTGATTCTGATGAAGCAAACCTTAGATGGCCCAAATGATCAATAGTACATACATATATGCCACACACACCATATTATTATTTTTTTGTTTTGATCGAAGTCTCTCCTAATAACAACAAATTTCAAATAAATCTGATGTCCAACATGAATGAATATAATGTTGCTTTTTATCTCATCCATCTTTATCGCTATCCCAAATGAATCGTATCACCCTCATTTTTCTTGAAAAGTGTTTCCAAATCTGTTCTCTCTTGTCTTGTGAATTTGATCTTTATTTAGAGTTCTCCGCACCACCGTTGAATGTCGTCACGAGAGATATTCAAAGATCTCTCTCTATATATATACTCTGGTCCTTAATATAAGACTCATTTAACTAATTTGATTAGATTAAGAAAATTAGGTAAGTTAGTTAATTATAAGAAATGTGACACGTTTTTACTAAAACACTATAATTATCTTTCTTAATACATTATCTCCCTTTTCTACTTGATTATGGTTGAGGGAATATTCATAAGGGTAATTTAGAGAAAATTGATAAATATGAGAAATTGGTCATATAATTAGGATCAAAACCAGCTCAATAATTAGGTCTTATTTTAAGAACCGGAGGAGTACTTATCTGATCCCTAATACATGACTTAATTGTTAAATTAATTTTGGTCTTAAACATAAGACCTATTTTTTTGTATTTATCAATTTTTTTCTAAATTACTCCTATTGATACTCCCTCAATCATAACCAAGTAAGTGGGGGAGGAAGGATATTAAGAAAGATGATTATGATGTTTTAAGAAAAACATGTCATATTTTTTTATAATTAACTAATTTACCTAACTTTCTTAATCTAATCAAATTAGTTAAATAAGTCTTATATTAAGGACTGGAAGAGTATATATTATTCTCTTATCACATGCAACATAGAATTTCAATTTTCTCATGGTTGCAAATTATACTGTCTTGTCTTGTTCAAATTTATTTTGGTTTGCTGGCTTGATTCAATAATGACAGACAAAAGGATTTGATTCCATATTATCATTATTTTTATTCATTTTTCAATATGTTTATCTTATATTCGATACCATCATCGGGTTATATTCAACATTGTTAGGCATAATTGAAAATAACTCTACCAACGTGTTTTTCTTTCTCATTCTCAAAATTGGAATCTTTAACTTTGTAATTAGTTTATTGATGATTTTAATCTCTTTGTTATTGTTAGCAACAGAGTTAACACATTAATTAAGTGAGCGATTGGAATAAAAAATATTTTTAATTTCTTTTTAACTTTTATACAACCAAAGTGTGTTAACTTTTTTTCCTTTAAAATCATTGAAAAAAACACTAATTTACATGTAAAAACATAACTTTCTAAGACTTTTTAACAAATAACACTAATACTCATCAAAATATTAAAAATCTAAGTTAGGTTTCCTCTCACACCTCTTCAACTTGATCATTTTGTCATGTAGTTTACAATATTCCCACAAAGTAATCTTTCTATTAGTTTATTATCATTAAACAAAGTGATTCAACAAAAATTCTCACGCAACAATACAATATCCATTCTACGCATATTTTTATTATTATTAAATTATCATTAGTTAAGTTTCCTCATCCATGTTTTGTTGTAGCCCTTTAAGTAATTGATTCACGTAATTCGACATTTATTCTCTTCAAACAATATATCTTTCAAGTTCAAATCTTGTGTATGAAACAAATGGTTTTTAAATGAACTTTCACACCTCTATAGTCCAATTTTGCTTTATGTAAATTAATGGAGACATGATGTTGCTTTCGAAAATTGATGGGTGTAACCCATTAAAAAGTCCATATACCTCTTTATAAATATACATTACCTCCGGTCTTTAATATAAAACCTAGATAACTAATTTGTGAATATTAAAAAAAATTAGTTAAGTTAGTTATTCGTGTTGTCTTTCTTAAAATATCCTTATTAATCATGTGCATGAAAATGAAATTTCTTTAATATGTACAACTACTATGAGAACTTCTTTAGGAAAAGATGAAAAAATATGGGAAACAAAATGAATTCAGACTTTATATTTAAAACCAAATTGAATCTTTAACCAGTTTTTATGTTTAGGACTGAAAGTAGTAGTTCAGGGTTTTTTTTTTTAATTTTATTTTGGTTTCTTATGAGAAAATGGACGTGGAAGCTATATATTAAGTAAAACTATAGGCATCTAGTTAGGTCTAGGTCCATCTACGACCAAAACAATGTTGAATTTTAACAAGTGCATGAAGCTTTCACGTATCAATCATATAAGTGCAATCGTGCAAATTTAGAACAGGTATCTATCTGAGTATTTATATTTATATTGTATACAATGAGTCAATTATATTATTAATTATTATTTTCAACCATGTATTTACGGCTAAATTATTAAATTATCACGTGGTCAAAAACGCAAGAAACTTTCAAAAAAGATGGTCAAACAAAATTTGTTTTTTTTCAGGTTTCTAATCATTAACTTTTGTAGTGGGATATAAATTTAGCAGAATTTAATTTGCCAAAACTAAGGATCGTTTTCATGTTTTCTTGTACACCTTACCAATGATAAGTATGTTTCGTGTTCTAACAAGATTCTTTATTTTATTTTTATTTTGAATAATCATCATGTTGACTTGATTGTGTAGACATTAATAAGTTTCCTCAATTTTTAAGAGTTGTTCGGTCGATTCTTTTTGTGTTTTTTAAGAAAACATTTATTAGTAAAGAACTTTTCAACTTTTAGTACATTTTTTGTTAACAAATCACGTTAAATAACTTCCCAATCCAATTCAGAATCAATTGTGTTTGGTTGGAGGAGGAAAAATTATAATGAGTCTGATTTCCAAGAAAAATTGAAAAAATGAGATTAAATGTTTTCAATTATTTTTTCACTTGTTAATCTCACAACATCACCTTATCATAATCTTATAAAACCACTTATATAATTTTTTCAAATCCAACTTTTTAAAATATTTTCTCTTTCTATTTCCCTCCAACCAAACACGAGGTTATTGTATCAGCCATTAATTTTTTTTTGGGGTTACTATGAGCCATTAATATTACTCATCCAGTTCTAAATATAAGACCCTTATACTAGTACTAGTATAAGGGTCTTATATTTAGGACCGGAGGGATATGTTCTTAATTTGTGGTTGGCCCCAAAAAGGGAAGAAAAACTCGTGGGCAAACTTTGAAGATTAATTTTGGAAGAAACATAGTGGAGCACCCAACGATCATAAATGGTCGCCATACATTTTCAAGCCCACACTGTAGAGCCCACGATATCGATGTGTGTTCCTTGAATTTTTCTGGGATAAAAGGTCTTTCAAAGTTTCAGTACATGTCCTTCAAATCTTGAATGAAATGTCAAAATCACATCATCCATCCATAACCAATCACAATCTCAAATCAATTGTGTAATGTAAATCACAATTTCATAATATATCAATTTTTCATTAATTAAATTTCAGATTAACAAATGCAAGTTCAGGTAAGATAAATAGAATGTCCAGCAAACATTCTGCACCACCAAACCTCAAAAAGAGCATGGAAAAAAGGAACATAGTAAATGGACAGATTGATATAGGCCAGTGAAATTATTAAATTTACACATCAAGGATAAATCACATGCCTTCAATTTGTTGGTATATTTCTGATATGAAGAGAACCTTTAATTATGATAACCACATAATAACTTCCTGGATATGATTCACATGGTGATTCAGAATATAACTAGGGGAATAAATACAATGAAAAACCTGCAGCTATATTGCATTGCTTGCAAAACTACTTCGTCAAAAGAATCTAGATGAACAGTTCCACGCAGGGATATTCATAAGGATCAGCAAATACAACGATCTCATGCCCATGACCAAAAAAACAAGGCACGGCATTGTCTAATGGCTATTCACAAGCAAAGCTGACCCTCTTCTTTGAGTCTTCCCTCCTCCAGTGATGATCTGTTTGACGACTATCCCTTTGAAATCGAGATCCTATGGGGGATTGATGATAACTTTCCCTTTTCTGGAAACTCTGATTCCTGGCAGTCCAATCTCCATAATTTCTTCTGAATTGTAAATTGTCCGAAACATTATTGGCATTTCTCTGATGCTTCCATCCAGGGCCATTCTCTTCACAGTTTCTCCACCCTCTGCCCGCTGAAGCCCTATTATGCAGATTAGTTTTGCATTCCCAAGGCCTTTCGATGTTCAAGGAATTATTTGATTTCTTTCGGTTCCAAGTGTTATCCCAAGCTTTGCCCCATCCTTTATTATCATCCCATGTTTTACCCCATCCTTTAGTATCATTCTGCCAAGGATTATATCCACAGCTCCAGTCCCTAAGGTCATCACTATGGCCACTCGCTTTGTTCCGACCCCAAGCCTTAGCACCACCGCCTTCCCACACATTGTCAGGTAATTTCCGATTTTCACGAGTTACTCTGTACTCCCAAGGGTTATTGGCATTCTTTTCTGAATTGCTAGGACTATTTTTGTGTTTATCGGATTCACATTGATTCCACCCATCTTTATTTTCCAATGCTTTGTCAAGCTCTGTATCGCCAAATTCCAGAGAATTTTCAACATCTGCTGAAATTTTTGTTCTCTTGTAACTTACGGCATTCCTTTCTTCCTCATCAGGGGGAGGACAGTACACACGATCCAAATCCTCTATCAGTTCAGGATCAATATAGGGGTTCCAATCTATTTGATCAATATAAGTGTCAGAATCAGGAAGAGAAATATCACAAGGGAGGCTGTTGATCTCTGCCCAATATTGTTTTTTGGCATTTTGAAATGCTTCTTCAGCAGCTGAATCATTCCAATTAAGCACATTGCTGTGGCAGCTCACAAAATTCTTGGTGTCAACAACTTTCTGCCATGGCACCAATCCAACCAACGTGCAAAATTTCTTCTCCCATAAGGGTATACCATCCTGCTGAAAATCTGTTTAGATTGGAAAGGGAGCAACAAATTCAGTAAAGCACAATGAGAGATGAAAATTATATTAATAGGAACGCAAAAAATTAAATAACACGATTATCATTGTGATTACAATCACTTTATCCGTACAATGCAAGCTTATCAAGCGTAAAGTAACGCAGATCAAGAAACTGCTGACTGTTTTGGGTTCTCATATCATATGTTCCAAAAACCACACAAGATATATGAAGTGATTACATAACAACATTGGAAAATGGTATTGAAAGGTCTCAAAAAATTGCTCACAAACATCAAGAAACTGAACAGAATTGAAGACAAAAGGTAATAACAGAAGGACATCTGAAAAAATAAAATAAAATAAAATAATCATATCAAAAGTTTTTTGATTTATTTGCAACAGCCAAAGTGGCACATCTAAGCATGAAAACAAGGCTAGATTGTAGAAATCTTGTCACAACATATTAATCAAATTCCAAATTTTAAAGTTGAACAGAGAAGCACATGCCATTATAATAGTGAAAGATCATAAGAAGATTGAAACTTTCAAACCATATTCATCATGACAAAGAAAGCAAGAGTGAAAAACAAATAGATAAATTAGAACAAACAACCCAAATAAGAGTGGTAAGTGCTAAACCAAAAAATATGAACTCGAATGTTCAAAGAAAAGTTAGAAATAACATCAAAATGTTAGACATGATGGCCTTATCCACCCATGATTGTCATTTCTAAATCCAAAGCAAATTTCATAGCTGCAAAAAGTAATCTTGCAGAATATAGTCAGTCATGTCATAACAAAGTCAAAATACACAACCCATGGCGCACTGGTCTTAACAACTAAAACAATTAAACTTTTGACAATCTCCTCTTTAACACCATGATAGATATAGATATTACTTCAATTAAGCAAGAAGAAGCTTCAAAGGGTTACAGTACTACTGCCTATGACAATTAACGCCTAAACTATCCAGCCAAAAATGTTAGACACGCCCCTTCAGCTCAGTTAATAACTGTAATCCCTTCAAGAAAAACCCCGACGCATTCCCTCTTTGGAGGGGCCATCAATACAAATTGATAATTTATAAAGCCTACCATTAATCAAAGCACACGCCAGTTCTCTTCTCATTTAACCAAACAATTTTTCTGGTTTTCTACATTTTTCTCGCAATCACATCTCAATAACTACATACTATTTTTGCCAATCAAACTCAAGTGCCCACCTCTAAATGAAAAACGCGAAATTTGTCTTCGGCAATTCCAAATAGAAGTTTGAAGAAGATATGGAATCTGGGAGTGTAGTTGCCACCACAACAGTCCGAGATTGAAAGGTTTCGAAGATTAATCACGTTTTAATGATTTAAAAAAAAACAAAACAAAAAGGAAAGATAAAAAATTACCAGGGAGAGGAGCTTGAAGGTCATAGAACACAGAAGGCGGCCTGGGAGATCTTCGTTGACGAAAGATTCTACGGTTCCTCCACTTACCCATAAAAAACCACAAATCTGAAATATTTGTCGATTGTAATAGAACAAACTTAGACGCAAAAATGGGCAAAGAAAAAAGAAACAAAGAAATTTAAGTATGGAATCTGGGAGTGTACTTGCCACCACAACAGTTCGAAATTGAAAGGTTTCGAAGATTTGGTGTCTTGAAAGGAGAAAAACCAAAAGTGGCCGAACGATAAAAATTGAGGAGGCGAAAGAAAAGCATTACTTTTTCTATTTTTTCTTGTTCGTACATTTACTTTCTTGGGCCCATCAGTACATTGAAGATTAAAAACAAAAAAGCCTTGTCACCAAACAAACATAAAGGCCCATTAACTTGAATATGGGCTTTTTTCTAAAAAAAACTTGAAAATGGGCTGCCTGGGAAAAAAACTCATATTTTCTAATTTCAAAAAAAAGAAGGTGTTCAATTTATCCCACTTCTATTGCGATTGACAAGAAGCCACAAGAGACCAATCCAACAAGCGAGAATTCGAATTAATTGAACCAACAAACTAATGAATGATCCTAGCAATGAGATTAAACCTGATAGAAAGATCATACTGAACTAAAATTTAAGTATTTTGAAAATAATAAATCATGAAAATATTACATAAAGACTATGGCCCTTGTCTTGTGGAAAAAATAATGCGGTGGACTAAAATATTCTTGCTCAATTGAGAACATAGTGACGGTCAAAAATTGAAAGCTCAGTTACAAGTGTTAATAGTTTAATTGTAAATAAAAGAAAACCACATTTTTGTATTTCTCTGTTATTTGAGTTTTAAAATCTGATATTTGAGTTGAAAATCATAAATAATGTGATATACTACCTTCCGTCCTTTATATAATACTTTGTTTGACTTTTATTTTGATCTTAATTATAAAACTCCAATCCACTTTGTCTCTCATATTTATTTATTTTTTTTCCAAGGTAGTCCCTATAATAATTGTAGTTTTAGCCAATAAATTTGATTAGTAAGGATGTTTTAAGAAAGACAACATTTATTTTATTACAAATAACTAACTTAATTTATTTCTTTAATCTCTTCAAATTAGTCAACTAACTCTTATAATTAGAATCGGAGATAGGTAATATCATGAAATTTTAATTATTTACAATTTAACTTCTATTTAAAATTGAGTTTGGAATTTTGCAACTAAACTTGTTATTTTTGCAGAATTGTGCTGGCTCTGATACCACTCGGGGTGTTAGCTCAAACAGACCAAACTAACATAGTCTGATATCATCAAGTCCTCTACAGACTCCAGAATCATGCTCTTGATCTTCATTTCCCAAATTCCACCAAAGATGACTATTCTTTTTTTATTCAAACAACGACCTTGGTGGTCCAAGTTTTTTTCCCTTTATTTTGAAATTAAAAATTAACGCCCTTAAATGTTAATAAAATCCATAGGGGAGTGTCATCTTCCTAACAAATTTTGTCTCTTTTACAGTGCTGGGCAGTACAAATACAATTAATGCAATTTCAGATTAGGTCTCCTTGCCAAGACTCAAGAAAGATGCCTCCAACCGGTTGGCCCCAAAATGTAGCAACTAGCAAGTACTAGGAGCGCAGCTTCTCATCACAAAATCTTATCACATTGTTCTTTTCCTTGGCAAACAAACGCTCTTGAGAATATTGTACTTGAATGATTAATTTTGAATTTTAAATACAAAAATAAGTCTTATATTTGATTAACTTCATACAATGTTTCATTTTATTTTCTTAATTTTATAAAGCGTTTTTTGATTATTCTATTATAATATCGTTACTGTAAAAAATGTCTATGTTAAAATTTTAAATGTTCACAAACATCATCAAATTTTTTCATTATGAGCACGGGTTTTTAAGTTGACCTTTTTAAAATAACAACGATCGCCTCAAACAAAAATCATCATTTAATATTGACGGGTGTCAGCATTAGAAAACTAAAAAAAAATACCTCATAAAATCAAGGGATTAAGTTGAAACCTTATATAAAGTTAGGAAAAAAAAAAGTAATTTTTGCCAATTTTAGAAGATTTTTCAAGAGTAAAAGATCTTGAATGAAAAACATTAACTGAATAATTGATACAACAACAACAAGTTTTATTTTATCAGGTAAGGTCAGTTATATGGATCGCACAATGTTATTGTACTCTATTAATAACTAAGTTTTAGATATGTTATTGACTAAAAGTTCTCGTTCAATGATCTCATTGAACGTTCTCCTTGGTCTTCCTTTGCTCTTTTTTATAAGACTCCAACGTATGTGATTTACCATTTTCACTAGTGTCTCCAATGATCTTTTTTTCACATGCCCAAACCACCTCAAATGATGTTCAACCAATTTCTTTTAATTAGGCGTTACATTTGTTTTTGTTCTAATATTTTCATTTCGAATATTATTTTTTTTTATATGACTTCACATCCATCTTAATATCTTTATTTCTACTAACCCAATTTTAAGCTTTTGTTTTTCTTTTAAAGCCCAATCTTCACTGTCATATAATACAATTGGTCTTATATCAGAATAATTGATAAATTTAGAAAATAAAAGGTCAAGTTCAATAAGCATGAGGGTAAATGACAAGATCAAAGCATAGGAAGAAGACTTCCACAATCCAATCCATATAACTCTTGAAAGAACAAGAAATGATTTTGAAGAACAATTGCATCAATCACATCAGGTAGTTACCAGTTATCACCTAAACTTACAAATGAATTTTTAGAATTCTGGTTACTTCCTTTTTTCAATGAAAGATTCTGAGTACTCTTTTAGCTGTCATATTATGTTGCTTTTGAGATCTGATGCGAACATAATGTAGATATTTATCATGTATTTAACAGAGTAATATATATAACTGTAAGTATAAATATACTAGATTAAAATATAAAGTTGTCCTAAAAATTTTCATTCTCAGAGATGTTTTTGAGTTCAAAGTTACCTGGAAGGTGCAAAAAATAGCGGGATAAAGTGTGAATAGATTTGCGTTCCATTTTCTTTTATCCTGGGGTCCAAATTAATCCTTATCCTAATAAAAAGCAAAAGCAGAATCTAGTGCGACAGACTCTGTTTTTTTTTTTTTTTTTTTTGGTGGTTTCACTGCTCATTGCTTTAAAAAGACAAGAATGTATTATGGCAATTCCCTCTGTTTAGGGGATAGATAACACACAGCTGTCTTCACTTCATTTCACTTCTCAGAATTCAGAAATCCAAGTCTTGGTTCAATTCTTTCTTACATCCTTACCCCACATTATCTGGCCCTATCTCAGTTCATGTCCCTTCTTCTCAATTATACACTTTCCTGATCCAACCTTGCCCACCTCCTGTTTGTAAAAATTTCTCAACAGTAACAATCTTCTTTCCATTGCCTTCCACAGAGAACAGAAACTTCTCTTTGTGTGGCCATTCTCACTTGTTATCCAGAGCACGCCCAATGACATGCCATACTCTGAGCCTCTCTCTCTCACACACAGACATATCTAAACATATCTAAACATATCTAAGGGAATATTTTATGTAGTTGAACACACCATATTATTCTCATGTCATGTTATTTGGGCAGGAAAGAGATTTATTATGTCTGGTCATAAGCATGCATGTTCTAATACACGGAAATAGATCAAGATGGGGGAGAGTAACAATTAAGTACTGTGTAAAAGGATTAATATACAGTGATAAATATAGAATTTTGAGCTGTATGCATGTCCCCAACATAGTATTAATTCCTTTGCCGGGTTTTGTAATTGGCATTTTTCCTTAATATATTCATCATTGATTTATTGGAGATAACGGACTCTGGAGCTGAGAGAACGCAATCAAAGTTTCTCTTAAGGTTGAGGAAGTGGAAAATTAATCTCCCAACTTCTTCACTTTTGTATCCATGGAAGGTAATGCTAAGCCAAAACTTTTGGACTCTGCAGATCTACATGTTATGTTTTTATTACTGTTAAAGAACCTAGTCGGAAATGATTAAGAAGTTTACCTAAATATTGTCCCAGGTATATCCTGAGCCTCATTCCACATATGAGTCGGCAATAAGGACTACTAATTATGTTGTATTTTTACCTGGTCTGCTATTTCCTGGTTGCGGGATGGATTTATAATTTTAAACCAAATATACACATGAAAATGCATTTTCCAGTTAGGAAAATGAGATAAAGATAAAAATATAAAGAGAGGGCCCATCAAGATGAGAGACGCTGTCTTTGATGAACTTGAAAGCCATAGATAGTGGCCTCTGCTTTTTATATTCTGTGCAGTGCTTTCTGCTGAAGGCCCACATTTTGAACAGAAGCATCTCATCGTGAGGAAGATCAGGATTATCACTAGCATTGCACCCACAGAAAAAATCATCATATTCATACAATTATAACCACTTCACAGAAATTATTTTAATAGAATTTCATCTTTTGGAATATGGGAAAAAGGAAAAAATATCTTGATATCAGTGCATGATATCATATCAGTCATATGAATGATGAAGCTGTATCAGATCTACCTTCCAAGTAGCATTCTTTCCATATAAAAGAAATACTACTTGAATATCTTTCTTTTTTTCATGAAAAAAATATTTCACCACATGTAAAGTAGATATCATATGTGATGAGATGAGAACCCTTGATTCACTCTAATAATTTTCTATTAATTTTGTATATAGCTGTATGCTAGTCTAGTTCCTATATATTTCTCTTCTTGTGTGGCTAATTTTCAGCGTGCGTTTGCTGAAGAGATTATAAAAAGTTCCACGTTCTTGGGTATCTGATATTATAAAGAATGTTTGCTGACTCCGATGCTATTCCCTTCTGAACTTAATGAAAGCATTTCTTCTTCACTTGTTCCAAAGCACCGATCACGCTCTCTGAAACGGTGATGCTTGTCCTTTTTAGTAACGAATTTACAGATTTCCAGGCAAATGGGTAAGACTTACAAGCTTGGATCTCTCATTTTCCTTCAACTATCTTGCCTAGTAAGCTTCAATGGGTAATTTTACTCTGAGATCAAAGTCATGGTCAATGTAACATGGCTCTGCAAATTGTTCCTTCTTTTATGGACAAGTCTGACGATATATGAGGAGGGTCTGTACAGCTTCTTCTTTACTCATATAATGCCCTACTATTTACCAACCAATTGTACGTTTCACCTCCTACCTACTCATTTAAAACTGAACTGAGATTTTTATATATAACCAT